ATGTGGAGAAATGGGAACTGGTTGCTTCACCATGACAATGCTCCAGCCCACACAGCTTTGATGGTCCGACAGTTTTTGACAAGCAACAACATGGTGATTGTGCCTCATCCACCTTACTCACCCGACCTGGGTCGTCAGACTTTTTTTTGTTTCCACGGATGAAGAGAAGTCTGAAAGGAAAGCGATTCCGTGATGTGGATGAAGTCAAAGAAAACACGCTAATGGCTTTGAATAGTATCCAGCCTCAAGAATTCCAGCACTGTTTTGAGCAGTGGCAAAAGCGTTGGGACAAGTGCATTAATGCACATGAACAATACTTTGAAGGGGACTAATATACAGTTCAATAAAAATGCAAAAATAAAAAATAACAAAAATAAATTCCGGTTATTTTTGGGTCCCCCCTCGTAGTCACACTCCATCATGTGACTATATGTAATGATTGCATCAGCTTAAGATATTTATGTGTGTTAGATAGATATGCTGATTCTGAATGGTCAGTTGAGAAGAATGATCAAGAATGTGATATGCCCTCTGTTTGGTTTTTCCTAACAAAAATCTGACATTTCTTTTCTTCTGAAATTGATCAGGATGCATAAGAATACAAAACAAGATTTCTGCAGTCAGTAATTCACTAAGCAAACACAAGCATACTGGTATAATGTGCCACACTGGTATTTTATTTAGGGGTTACTAGTTTCATTCTCAGCCAAGTGCCTTGTTGTACTTACTAGTGCTTTTGTGGGTTTCACTGGTTTCCATGTGAGTGCCAGGATTGTACCTTAAAATAAGCCATAAGGAACTTTGAAACCTTTATCTATTCAGCACTCCTCAAATTCCATGCTTGTATGCATATGTATACTTCTGCCTTTTTCTTCATCCCCTTAATCACTAACTGTAACCTGATATTAACAATTGAAGTAGCCAATACCAGTCAGTATAGTGATGGTGGCTCTGGAGGCCATGCAGTCGCCTGCGTAATGTGTACTGAGGGCTTTTCTACTGCGGTCAGAGCACAGAGCTGACCGGTCATGCCATCTAGTGGCTGTATTAAGAATATGTCTCCATGGCATTGTGTTGAAGTTCATAGAGAATGTCACTTTACATGCGAATGAGTGTATGAAAGCCTCATCCTCCACCTCCCCCCCAAGTTGAAGATTAATATTCCCTACCAAACCAGTCAGATCACCTTCCTTGAAGCCCAACAGTGTGCACTGGCCAGAATTAAGATTATGGTCATCTTGAATGTGAAGCCGTGTAGTTTGGTAGATGGGTATTAACATTTGAGAAGAATCTACAGCTTCATGTTTGGGTTGGCTTCCCTGAAACATTGGTAACTATCTACCAAACTGTACGGCATCCCACTCCAGAAGATTGTAATATTAATGTTTACTGCTATGAGAACCTCAGATATCAGTCCTCAAAATGTACATTTTGGACTGATATAAGAAAACGTCTTTGTTTTAGTTTAGGACTCTATATTTTTGTAACATGAGAATTTTAATTAGTAAAATTAATAAGACTACAGGGGAAGGTTTTGGGTCATTTTCTGATTAGGATTTTTCTGTGTGAACATTAATTGGAGGAAAGTTTCGGATGCTCCTCAACCATTATACTGAAACTTAAATATACTTTTAACTTTACATTTCTTTTCTTGTGAGTGTACTCCTAGCAAGAGTTAAAAGTAACCCAGGTACAGTATGTGGTTGTACCACCTTGTACCATGGGATTGAATTCAAGAGAAGGGTAAACTAGAGTAAATTTAATTTTCACACTTAGAATGATAAATATGCAGCAGCTTACATCATCAGGAATAAAATTATTAATAACAAGAAAACATTCACGATTAGTATTCAGCCATTAACTTTCAATTAAAAATGTTCATGCATATGAAGAACAAGAACTGTTGAAAGATAAGTTATATTCAAAATATGTTAAAACTAACTGTGAACACATACATTTTATAAAGTTAAATAGGTAGCTCAAGTCTGTTTCACATTGAAAGCACTGAAATCCATTAAAAAGACAGCTGTGATGCATGATATTTGGATGAGCTTGCTGGTAATGAGGGTGAAGTCTTCCACAATTTGTCACTGCTGGGAATGCCAAAATATTTTCTTTTTCAGCTTGTAATATTTGATTTCATACACATATCCATCAGCTACATAATGAAAAATGCTACTCTTCCCTGTCATCTGTACTAAAACTCTGCTTTTACCAAATCACTAACTGGGGAAATTTCTTGCATTTTACTTCTATAATATTAGCCATTTCCTTTTGAAACAGAATTGCACAAAGTTTAGCTCTGCATATGTAACATCTTCAGAGCTGTCAACCATGACCAGCCTGTTCTTTAGAGAGTTCTGTCTTCTGGGATACAGTGTCAACTAAGAAAGCAGCATGAAAGCAGGTAGCAAGTATGGTGCTTATACTTTGATCCTAAGATGGAGGTAACATGTTACTCTGAATCATCAGTTCACTCTCACCATACTACATGGCATTATATCCCAGAAGACAAAACTCTTCATAATCACTGCTATGAGAACCTCAAGTCCTACAACCTGTACTTTAGTTTTCTTCCCAGGTATTTTATATGAATATTTCACCTTATACTTTTTAGCTTTTGATTTTCAGTTTTCTTTTTCTCTGAGAGTCTATCAGAATTTTGCTTTCTTTCTTCCTCCAGTTTTCCTTGGTTTGGTTTTAGGGAAGGGTCTCATTATTTGAAGGGATGCTTTTGTGCTTATAGTTTCAGTTCATTTTTCCTCTTCATTGGTGATAACTTATGTTGGTCCATGGACAACAAAGAGCTGATTCTGCCACCTAACTTCAGGGTTTGTCAGTAACAAAGGAGAACAGGAATTCATCATCTTTAAAAATAAACTCTCATTTAGGAAATGAATGTATCACATTAAACCCCTCTTCAGTATAGCATTTAGTGAATGCTGTACTGGAGAATTTTCCTGTAATGCCTGTGACATTGTAAATGGTCACAGGTTTGCCCGAGTTTTTGGTTATCCAATCATAAAAGCAAGCATTGTAATATGCTTTATATGGACCATAGATTATATGATCCAGTGGCTGTAACTTATTTTGCCATATCGATGACTAGCATTGATATGTGGGACTCATGATTGTCTAAAATCAAGAGAGCTGGATGTTTTCTTGCAAAGCTTTTCACGTGTGATAAAATGCTTTGAATAATCAACAAATCGAGGTTCTGATAATAGTGACTAAGAAGAGTTCTATCTTCTGGGATATAATACCATGTAGTACATTCAAAGTCAACATTTTGGAGCAACATATCACCTCCATCTTCAGGGTAAGCCAAGTAAGAGACCAGCATAGAGGAGGACAGGTCAGTTTCTTGTTTGGCTTATCATGAAGGTGAAGCACTAAGTTGATACTCACTAGACTACATAGTGTTATGTCGCAGAAGACAGAACTCTGTAAGGGCTTCTCATATGACCAGCATGTTTGGTTTTGAACCCCCAGTATAAGCTGTAGAAGCACCACTTATCCTGGAATCTCTACAGTGCACTCTTAGAAATATTAAAATTGGAAGAATATGGTTATCAGTGGTATTTGCAACAGCAATCATTATAACATGCCGTCTTCCCAGAAATCACACTCCCCACTTGCTAGAGTACCTTAGCAAAGATGATTTTTGGAGGAACACGAACAGTTGAGTTACCAGTCTCATCTAAATTATAGATTTTATTAGCAGAGAATTTGTATCCTGACTGGAGATTCTTTGAATTTTCAAAAAGTGCTTTTGCCTTTTCACAGTTAAAACTTGTCGTATAAGTAGCCTAGAGGTTTCTCAAAGGTGAGGACTTGTGATGTTCCCCAGCCACATATTGCTAACACAGCCATTGTTTTCCCAACCCTCAGGATGTGCCCCATTTTCTTTGCCATACTGCAAGGCAAGGTTTGCAGCATTGTTTTATGAGACCACAAAGTACTCTTGCAGCCTATTTAAGATACTCAGCCAATTCAGTTTCCTGTATGAAACTGAAAATTCTTTTAACTTCATCAAATGAAGTAGTAGTTTCCTTTTAAATTCCAGAATTACATGCTGCTGTCCATTTGTTTTGTTATTGGTTGCATCTCGTATGGCTCATTTTTTGGCTATTGCATCTACCTTTCATCTTGTTTGACCTGTCTTCCTTTGGGCTTTCTCCTAGAAACAAAATAGCTTTCTTGATATTGGACTTTTTCAATATGTTGGTTTAATTTTAAATTTAAATAATGGAACCATACTGTGTTGTACCATGGGCTGTGGCACAAGGTATGACACGAATTGTAATAGTTATTTTAGGTTAATTGACAAACTAATATGAATAGCATAAAAAGTAGATCTTACCTTTGCCTTCTCTCCAGAAAATGAAACCATTCTCATACACAAATGTGTAACAGACATCTTGAAAAAATGCTTTAGATTTTTCAGTACACTGTAAGCAGCACATGTAATTTCTACCAAAGGAACTGACACATGATGCTTACAGTGAACAAGTCTTAAAGAGGGTAATAACATATTACGAGTACATGTGTGTCCATAGCTGAGCAGTGGATAATGAATCAAGGTACAACCATTTCCCCTGTATATTCACAGTGTTTTCTTTCACTTTTACTGGAATGTGTATTACAAACTGTTCAAAAGGGGCTGCGCCATAGTTCAAGCAGTTAGTCGCTGGCTTCCCGTTGCAGCGGCCCAGGTTCGATCCCGGGTCTGGTCAAGTGGGATTTGTGGTGGACGAAGTGGCAGGTTTTCTCCGAGTACTTCGGTTTCCCCTGCCAATCTTCATTCCACCAATTACTCCGCAATCACCCCCACCTATCATCTGTGGCTGGTACAATAGGCCAGAAGTGGCTGCAGTACAAGGGACTTAGTCCCACCCCACTAGCAATAAAAAAAACTTCAAAAAGCATGTACTTTTGCAATACAAATTTTAATTGCCTTAAAAGTACTCAACCAGTTTCGGCCCTTTATATTGTATATGTTAATTTTATTATTTATATACATTAATCAGTCTTCACTTTTTGTCCTTCACCCATATAAGACAAAAATGATACAAGAAGAATCAATCTTTCACTGCCAGATTTCACATGATTCTGACTGGCATACCACAGAAATAAACAGTAGAGTATCCTCTTAATTGAGGGCCACAACAGTAACTTCATATGAGAAGTGCCTTGTATGTTGTGACAAAACACTCTTTGTCAGTACTGTTTTGTAAAAAAAAAGTAGCAAGAATTTTTGCAGACTTATAAATGGCTTCACGTCTTACTTTTCAGTATTTCAGAACTGCAGAGAAAAAAAAGAGATTGTTAATTTTTCAGATGTGGAAGGGATTATTATTATAATCACATTGATTTTGGAGAAGTAGGTTGTATGGGTGTGAAAAGCATTGACTTGACATAGGATCATCTGACAGGCTTTTTTAGTGATAGTGATGAATGTAGCAGAATTTTTCAAGCTTTTAACTACAGAAAATATTTTGAGGAAGGAATAGCGTTTCATAATTTTACTCTCCTTGTACAGTTCAGCAGTGCTTGGTGTACCAAATGAAGGATAGAATTAATCAGCTACATATGATATCTGTGGTGGTCATAAAGTAGAATGTTGTCATGGATCTTATAAGATTTAGCTCTGTGGTTTGAAACAATATCTGCTTTGAAATAAGATGCTAACAATTATTGTGAAGCGTGTGAGAATCAGATAATTATGTAATTGAAAGATTAATAGAAAGGGGTAGCCACAACAATCTCTTGAACTGATTAACATAATTATTATCTGGATTAAAGCAGATGAGCTGTTTGTATTAAGCAGAATTCTAATGAAAGCGAAGTATAACAAAGCAGTTTGCCTTTACAAGTTCAGAAATAGGTTCTCAGTTTGAATGAGGTTGCATTGCCCTTGCAGTTGTCATGACACTCCTATCAAACCAAATTTCCTTCATTATTATTAAGTCCTGTATGTCAAGCGATACCAAAGATAAGGATTTCATGCTGCATTGGAACTTCTTAAAATTTGGAGGATGAATTCCTTAAAGCCATATGCATTAACTACATGGTCTGCTTTTGATGTCACATTGCCGATAACATGCTTTTGTGTAGTAAATTGTTTCTTGAGGAATTTGTATATGGCAGAATGTGTTCCTGTTTACTTACTATAGTTTATCTTTCAGGTTATGTTTTCAACCAACAGACAGTGCCTACTTCTTTTAATTTTGGTGGCACTCCATTGGGACGATAGAGTGTCTTCTAATTGATAGTGACAATTAATAGATGTTGGACATCTGTGAGAAACATTTCACACCTTTTTTACTGTCGTGTAAGAGGGAGAAGTCAGCCACAGTAGCATGTTCTTGTTACATGTGCGTAGCTCCTGCTGAAATCTGTGTGTACTGAACAGACTGTAATTAAATTAAATGTAAAAATACATTCACATTGTGCAAAACTGACTACATGAAAAGAATACATTCTTATTACTCCTGAAGTGCAGACGGTATAATATAAGTGACGAATAAGTGAGGTTTAATTTCTGACTTATGAATGAGAATAGTGAAATGCATTTCAGAAGACTGTATAATATTGAATATAATAAGACAACTAAAATATTCCTGTACTAATGAATGGTTACACATGGAGTTTAAATGGCTTTGTATGATTTGCTTCTCTCTCTCAGACTGAGTGTAACAAAATTGAGAACATTGGTCTCCACAATTAGTAATTTTAATACTCAATGCCACCCAGCATGTCATTTTTGCCAGTGATTTCCCACATACATCAATTAACGTAATTTGTAAATGAATTATATATTATTAACTTACAATTCCTGTATCTAAATTTCTGTTGTTATTTATTTAGTCATATTTATTGTGGAACTAAGCCTGAGCCAGTAATACACAGGCTAAAAGAATGTGTTGGGGTTCCTGTGTTTTCAAGTGATTCATAAGTAGTTTTAGTCTGTGACAGAGGAATAAAGGCTTGAGGTTCTTTCCACCACTACCAGAGCCCAATATGATGTAAGTGTACAAACATGGTGTGCTTCAGGTACTCATTGTGATTGTAACATGACAAACAGATATTGAAGGCCTGTTTTAGACCTGAAGGTATGTGCCTTGGATGAAACACTAGTGGATAAAACTAGAATTGTGGACCTTAAGCTGAAATACAGTTTCAGAGCGAAATTGTAGGTCGGAAAGCAGGAGTACTTGTAAGCACACCACCAGGAATAATACATCTGTAGGTATGGAGTTTATTCCTGGTATAATCAAACATAGGATTATTTATTTAATAAGACAAAATATGTATGGTAAATTACAGGTGTATGGTGCTTCAAAATTTAGTTCTGTAAGATTTTTTAACCCATGCTTAAACCAGCTTAACTCTCAAGATCTCTCCCCTTTTTACACATCAGTTGCTGACCAGTGCAGCTGTTGTATTGAAGGCATTTTGAGAATTATTATATTGGCACTTCTATGGTTAATTTATGATATTCACTATAGGTCTTAATACGAGTATTATTAATTCAGAATGAAAAATATGCCTCATGAAGTGGTGTGATTATTATGCTTAAAAGTCTATTTTTCAGTACTGTGTAAATTAACTATTAGCAATCTTGGCTTTGTGTACTATTTAAATGCCAAACACTGAACATATACATCCTTTATTATAGTCATAAGTTCTTGACACTCAAATGATTGTTAAAAAACATTGTAAATGTCAGGATTCTGGCAAGGATATCATGGAACTGGACCGAGATTTTAAATATATGAACATAAATAAACAGAAAGCAAAACTATAGATGTTACAATCATATATCTATCAGTATTAATTTATTTTGCAGAATAAATTTATGAAACAGCCTACAGTATACTAATTAGTAGCCAAAGAAATGCATTTGCTTTGGTAATGGCCTCAGTATGATTTTTTTAATAATTTCAAGCTAAAAGAGCAGTAAATTGAAAATTCTTTTGATATTGAGATCCTAAATTTAATCCAATAGGATCAAATCCTAATAAAACAGCCATTTTCTTTCTGGGGAAACACTACAGACCAACAAATCACATAAATATTAAACAAAAATTATTCAAAAAGCAAAGACCATAAATTTCATAAACACAATTAAAATCAACCATAAGTAAAGTCAGTATTTCTGTGTGGGAACTGTTTCCATGCATAAAAAGGCTTTCTTTATTGCAGTTATCATGAGTGAATTAAAAGTATACACAAGATTACTGTTTGTCTGAACTTAGGGGGACAATGAAATTTCTATTGTTTTGTGGTTGAGGTGTTATGTATAAAGCAGAGTATATGCATTATCCAATCCTGGTTACAAATAGCATCCAACAGCAGCTGAAACCGGTTCCCTTCCACCTCAAGGAAATAAGCTGCAATTTCCTGGGGTAGACTCTTGTCAGTCATCAACTTTCTTTGATAAGTGTCTTTTCTGTGCATTACACATCATTTTAAACATCGTTCAAAGTACACTGAACCAACATAACCACCTCTCATTGCCTTCTGCACATTCTGTTCAAAGAGGCGCCTGTTGTTCTGAAGCACTTCTGCAGCTTCCTTATTCAGTGGGTCTTCAGGATTTGGCTCCTAAAAAAGAAAAAAAATCCTGTATCATTCACCTCCATTTTATGCATGCTACTATATTTTTGACTGCAGTGAATTCCATGAATTGTAGCTACTAGATTCTGAATTCTTATATACATGAATTTTCACCCCCTCTGATTAAAGATGTTTCTTCCCATTTTACTGCCCCTATTGGAGTGTTTATTTTTTACAATTTCAATAAATCTAATCAGAATTAGTCCACAAGACATCTAAGTCATACCCAGAAAACTGGAAAGCAAATAGAATAGTACATATACAGTACCAAAAGTAGAGTTACTGGATACATATATTGTTACATTTAATGGAATGCTCTTTGGTACTGTCTTACTTTAGTTGCTAGCAGTGAAAGTGCAACTGCCCTGCAGTTATAAAAGGCAAATTGTATTTTTGAGGAAATAAAAACTGAATACAATCTGAAGGCACCATTAAATAAAATATTAACTGTTATTCAGTTTAGTTAACTGATGCTTGGGAATGAAGCACACTAAATTATCAAATTCAGGAAATGTTTGCTACTATCCAGAATGGTCCAAAACAAGGAGATGCTTTATCGCCACTCCTTTTCAACTTTGCTTTAGAATATGCCATTAGGAAGGTCCAGGAAAACCAGGTGTGACTGAAATTAAATGGGACACATCAGCTGCTGGTATATGCTGATGATGTGAATCCACTGGGTGATAATATAAATACCATAAATAAAAGCACATGAACTTTAACTTACTCTAGTAAGGGGGTTCATCAAGAAGTAAACACAGAGAAAACTAGGTATATGTTGCTGTCTTATCACCAAAATGCAGGGCAAAATGATAACATAAAGATAAGTAACAAATATTTTGAAAATATGGCACAATTCAGATATTTGGGAATGATGATAACACATCAAAATCTGATTCAGGAGGAAATTAAGAGGAGACTGCATTCGGATAATGCTTGCTACCATTCAGTCCAGAACCTTTTGTCTTCTCGTCTGCTGTCCAAAAACATAAAAATTATAGTACACAAAACTATAATTTTGCCTGTGGTTCTGTATGGGTGTGAAACTTTGTCTTTGACATTATGGAAGGAACATAGACTGAGGGTCTATATTTGGACCAAAGAGAGATGAAGTGACAGGAGGTTGGAGAAAACTGCATAATGAGGAGCTTCATAACTTGTACTCTTCTCCAAGTATAATTAGAATGATCAAGTCAGGGAGGAAGAGATGGGCATGCATGTAGCACGAATGGGGGAGAAGAGAAATGCATATAGGATATTGGTGGGAAAGCCAGAAGGAAAGAGACCACTGCATAGGTTATGTAGGTGGGTGGACAATATTAAAATGCATCTTAGAGAGAGACGATGGTATGGAATGGATTGGTCTGGCTCAGGATAGAGACCAGTGGAGGGTTCTTGTGAACATGGTGATGAACCTTCAGGTTACATAAAATGCTGAGAAGTTCTTGAGCTCAGCTCCATGAGTTAGTGTGTGATATAGGCAGAATAAGGTAGCATGGGCACATTTTAAGAATGAACAAAGAATCCCAAAGATGACTGGAATATGACACTAAAACAAAGAAATCATGAGGAAAACCGCTATCAAGACACAGACAGCAAGTTAGGAAAGATATCACAGTAGGCCAGAACAAAGGAAGAACTGGGGCGGGGGGGATAAATGGCTCCCGCCAGAGCTCTGAATGGTGTTGAAATATGTCTGATGGCCTATGCCATAATGTTGATAATGATGACATGCCTTACCAAAAATAAATATTGTAGTCCATAAACTATGGAATTGATTGTGAGTACTGGTTTCCAGTCTTCCCTCAAGATGTTCAGACAAACATTGCCTTCCAGGTCAATATTTGGATGGTATACTGGAGTTTCACATTTTACTTTAGGTGGCTCATGCGGGTAGTTTGGCCCAACTTTGAAGCTAAAACTGAAACGTCCTCCTCTGTAAAAGCCCTGAAATTAATAAGTCAATCATAAATTATAGAAAAGTTCAACATTTATGATTATTAAATTGTGTTACCAATGATGTACTTATACACAGCCCATAGCATGGTGTTTAGGGGTGGAGGCAGAGTAGCATATTTTGAAAGCACATATTTAGCGTCACTTTTATGCTTAAATAGGGATTTTAGAGTATGCAGGAATATAACTTTTCCAACTGTACCTTGTAAGCAGAAAATGCATTTAATGCTTATTTAGTGTCTGATGGAAAATTTTCAAGGTTATACCAGTGGCAGTTACCTTTAATCACAAAGGCAGTTACCACAGTGCAATGAATCAGTCATGTGCTGTGATCTGTCATGCATTATTTTAGCTGGTACTTGTGATACTTCCTATTTTTATGTTACAGCCAAACTCTGCATGTTGCTGTTGTTGAGATGAGCCAGATAATGTCAGCAATAGCCACTATTTCTCATTAAGTATACATGAAACAAATGTTGAGATTTCAGTGTTTAACCACCTAATGTTAACATCAGCCAATATGACATGGCTAAAGTTGCCTGTGGAACATTATTTCCTCTGTACATGTACTGGAAACTCAAACTCCCAAGGTTATTCCTACTGTACATCTGTAATCTAACCAAAAATGGGCAGGAATAGGTTAGAGTGATATTACCTATAAGAAAATAAACTCATTTTTTTATATAAATCTTGAGGTTACACACTCCCATGCATCTTCATGGTGCAGTGCTTCATTAGTTGAGCACAGGGATGACTTTACCTTTTACTCTTAGTTACATCACTGAATTCTTTCATATCTGATATTAGCCACACATGGCTTCGTTAAGATAATTTCATGTAGTGCAGGATTCATAACATAAGACAGTTCATACTGCATTCACTTAAGGTTCACATTACTTCCAATGGCACAGCAGTGATAAGAGCAATGACTTTGTAATGTGAAGTAAGCTAATATGAATTTCATGCACGGCTTTTGTGATAAAAATACTACATCTGCATCAAGGAAATACCAGCATTGGTATCAACAATGGGCATAACCTAACAGGCACATGTTTGTAGTGGTACACTGCAGTCTGAGAGCAGATGAATTCATGCCACCAGCATATACTGGCCACAGCAGATGCATTGTACAGAATGAGGGGAAATTTTGAATGCTACACATACTAATCCACTGATTAGCACTTGTCAGGTTTCCTATGAAACAGGCCTCTGAGTGCACTGGTCTATGCTGCACAAGGAGCAGCATGTCTTTCATATACAACTTGTTCATGGCTGACAGTGTCAGGGGATGATAATCTCTGCCTGCCTTTCTGTCAAAGGCTTTTACAGAAACTAGATGGCCATGATTTTTGTGCTATATACTGTGGGCTGATGAGGCATTTAACAATGAACAGAGTAAACAAATTCCACAACCTACATGAGTGGGCACTGGACAATCCTTATCCTATTTGCTGCTGTTCATTTCAACAAAGATACAGTGTCAACATTCAGGCAAGACTCACAGATGATTACTTAACTGGACCATACATGATTGCGAACTGTATTGGTGGTATCCAGTATGCTGATTTCCTTGAAAGAACAGATCCCCTTTTATCAGAAGATGGACCCCACTTTTCACATAGACAACTGCTTATGTTAGGGACACCAGTCACTGCTGTGAAGCATGCGTACAAGTTGGAGAAGGTAACTTTTTAACAGTTCTTGTGAAGAAACACATTTATGTTAAATGTAATGTAAAATTCAAAAACCTGTGCTTTCATTCATTGCAACTAAATATAAAAATGAAGATATTAAATACAAATAACCAACTGTATACATGAATGGACAGTTATTTCATATTCTTCAAAAGGGGTGGCATCCATACCCCAACAACCTCCTAATGTCTGGCTGTAGCACTCTTAAATCACTCTGCATATATAAAATTCATGCCTGTCAATTCCCAATGAGGTCACTGGATTTTTCAATTGACCTCATCCTTCCAGCCGCACCATGGCCCTGTGGTCGACTCAGCCTCTAACAGAAATGAGTACCAGGAATCTTCCTGGTAGTAAAGGGTGGCCAACATGTAAAGCTGACAATCTCACTGCCATCTGTGAGCCAACTGTCTACAAAATGTGGGAGTCTTGATGTCTCACAACCCTCACTAAGTTACTGAAGAAATAGTGAATTACACTGAATTGTATGTTGAGAAATGCGTGATTCTACTACATTTTGGTTACATCTAGCACACAGAGAATGGTAAAATGATGTAAGCATCAACTGAAGGATCCTGGCATCCTCATATTTATAAGTCCAGGAGGACAGTGGAAGGACAATCAAAATACATCCCTCTGTCCTATGATATGGTACCTGATATATGAGAAGAAAGTCCACTGTCAATCATTTCACCCTAAAGACAACAGAATGATATTCTTTCAAACGTGATAAATTAAGACAACCACAATCAATATACAGAAAAAACAAAATTTTGTGTGGTCATAATGATGTTAATTTTCATTCTGCATACTGACTTCATTAAAGATACATAATTTTCAAGGATCTATTATTAAAAGGAGACACAGTCAAATAAATACTACTCACACTTCTTAAACTTACACAAGTAATTTTTCCTACTGTTAGTGATAGGGAATCTCAAGTTCAAATATAGGGTTCATTCTAAAAACATGTTAATTACATAGTGTTTAATGAAAACTGGCCATTCTGTTTCAAAATTATTTGAAGAGGACAGACAATGACATTACATACCTCACTTTCCCATGATACAGAACAAAGCTAAATGAAAAGAGAAAGCTACTGAACAATTCTGGCATTCTGCTTGCATCGATTCTTACATGTCACGGTATGTAACTACCAAGTAAGCTCCAGTGACAATCTTATGACAGTGTAATACAGAAGATTTCATTCATTCTTTATTTTATCCTGTAGATCAAAATACAGTGATATAGGACATGTTCCTCTATATTGCTATCAAAATACATTAATAATTATGTTTTTTTTTTCTTGGCACTACAGCCCCAGTGGGCCTAGGCCTACCTCCATGAACTCCGTTCACTTCGGTTTTTCTCGATCTTACACATACGGTAGGACTCCTTGGCTGAGTGATCAGCTCATCGCAAGGCACCTGTAGACAAACACAGAAAAATGCACACAAACATCCATGCCCTGAGTGGGATTTGAACCCACGATCCCGGCTTCCAAGCGAGCGAAGACAGTGCATGCCTTAGACCGCTCGGCTACCATGACAAGCGTAATTATGGTATATACTTATCAGAAAAATGGCTTATTCTATATAACTGCTTATCAACAACCAATATTACAGAATTTTTCATTATCTTCTATTGAATATTAGCATCTCTTATTTATTTATTTATTTCGTTTCTATAGATCAGTTACATGATATAGGACAAGTCAGTTACTGTACATTGGCTGATTACAATAACAGAATAAAGTTACAATACTTAAAATTGTTTACAATAGATTACAGTAGATTACAATAGTTAAGATTTCATATAGTGTGAGGTGGAATCCATATTAGGTCCCCTCGGCATGTCAGCTTCCATATGTCCTATTGTACCTGTACTGGTGATAATGCTCATGGAGAATTTGATGGAATGAGGAATAAGTAAGTCCTTCAATTCATTTTTAAGCTGGATGTCATGACCTATTTGTTTTATGTTATTAGGTAATTTGTTATAAAGGATACAACATGCTATTGATGGTTCACTGTTATAAAGTTCTCAATTATGTACATACCTATGAATGACAGTCATTTTTATTTCTTGTGTCACACCCACTGCTATACAACATACCATTATTCATATGCTTTCTCTTGTCTTCCTTTCATGAAAATGAAAGACAGGAAAGACCCAGCGACAGAACATTATTAAAAAACTAAGCATATTCATATAAAAACCTTTAACAATCTGTGAATTTTCTGCATAAAAACAACTGCCAAGACTGTAGTACTGAACGATGCTCACTTCCATATAAAAACATTTAGAAATCTGTTAACTTTCTGCAAACTAATCAATTGGCAAATTACAATATATTTTGTGTGGTTTTCTTACCTCATCTGGGCATATAATAAGCTTGAATGTCAGCAAATCATCTGGATCTGGAAACTCCGTATTACATGTCTTGGGTAAATTAAGTTCATTTATATCTGAAATTGAATACTTCACTTTAGGTCATGACATGGAAATTGTATGACATAAACAGCCAAGTATTTTGGTTCGCAGGGCTGGGGTTCTTCGAAATGTAGCAAATATTCAGCATCGATGTAGTTTTTTGGGCTGCTACTTGAACGAATCCACCCACCTTTCGTAATTCGTAATTGTGCTGCTGAAGGTTTCTTCTGGTTTCCAGTTTTTGGAGCTGTTTCACCATCTTTTTTCTGTTGTTTCAAAGAAAACAATTTTATCATTTTAAAGAATTTTACAGCAAACAGTTATACTACTTTTGCGGCATACGAGGCTATATTCACTAACACAATGCCACTATAAAATAAACACTACAATTCCTGACAAGAAAAATTGGCTTCCTGATGGTTCTGTGCCCAGAAACAAAACACCATCACATTTGGCAAGCAGTTTAAGGTGAAAACAAATTGCAATGAAGACTTGCAATCAGGCCTACCAATAGAGTTGTTTATGAAAGATCGTAAACGTCAAGTTTCGTGTTTTAATTTTGACATTTCATTGCATGTTCAAATTAAACATCTTTGGTTCATAAACCGGGAGTAGATACGTTGTTTGAAGAGCTCAGTTTAATGTGACAATTTAAAATGTTGCTTCCTGTGATAACCAAATGAATACACTGCATTTATTCTTTATAGTAAAATATCCCACTGAATGGAATCAGCTGTTCGTCCGTCACGCTCGAAGTAAGTAGCGACCGGTAGCGACGGTTTCACGTCAGAGATATTTGCTTACCCTTTTTTTCATGGTGGTGTTAGATTACTATCGTGTTTATTGGTGGTTATGTGTGGAACGAGAAACAGCATAATGTTATCCAGCTAATATAATCATGGCACCTCTGGATCATATGGCAGTAAAAAGTAAATTTGTCCCTGTGGTAAATTAATTAACGACTACGCCATGAAGGCGTATGGGGGAGTGGATGTATAGATCCACATTTTCTTGATCTCGGCACTAGTTGGACGTGAACCCTTTGGCAGTATTCTTGATTTCCGTTTGCATACATAAGATGTTCTAGAATTTATCCAGCAGTCTTTCCACAGTTGAGCCATGACATGAAGGTAATGAATGTATCTGTTATAACACAATACGTATTTTGTGTGTTATTGTTTTGTACCTCGAACTATGCAGAAATTGTGGGAAATTGTTGGCTGGTGTAATGAGCTGCAGAATATGCGACCTGTGTTCTAGCAATGAACTGCAGAATATGCCAACCAGTGTTCTAGCAATAGATGGCAAACTTTTGGGCCAAATGTTGCGGTAACATTGAATCATAGTGTTATAATAATAGGTTGCTTCTCTGTTGTACCTTGGATTGTGCTGATGCCGACAGACAAATTACAGTTGTCTCAGTCATACAGTCATTTTTATTTTATCCTGTAGTTCAAAATACATTGATGTAGGACATGGCTGTGTATATTATTGTTATTATCGAAATACATTAATGAATATGGTATAAAGTTTTTACAAACAAAGAAACTCCGAGGCCCATAGTTCGCAAGCGAACTATACCGACTGAGCGACCGCCGCTTGTCAGATAAGTTAGTGCCAACTTTTGTTGATAGAGGATGTCGCGTGGTCAGCACAATGGATACCCACGGCCTTTAATCTCGGTTTTCTAGACCAGAGCCGCTATTTCTTTGAAATAGCTCCTCAGTTATCCTCAGGAGGCTGAGTGGACCCCATTCCAGACCCACTAATTCACAGGAAATCTGGTAGCGCCGGGAATTGAACCCAGGATCTCTGGATCTGTAGGCAGGAACTCTTGACTACTAGACCACAGAGACAGTCTATAGTTATTACAACTATAGCTTATTCTATACATCTGCTTATCAGTAGCCAGTATTACAGAATTTTTCATTGAGATAATCTTTTGTTGAATAATAACATCACTTAATAATGAAGTCCTTTAATTCCTTTTATGTATGTTCTTGTTTATTTACAGTGCAGTCACACTTTTATGCATATAAGATTGTGTCTTGAATGTATTGTGAATGTACTGTCAACGTCTTTAGTTGCCTAAAAATATCTCTACATGATTCCAGTTGTTTTAACCCTGCTATGTACCCTACAGCCCTTTTTTGAAGGGTACCTGTGTGTATAGTGAATGCCTTCACACACTGTCCCTGTACAATGATTCCATATGCCAGAAGAGGATAAATCAAACCAGCATTATTCTTACATTCTTGTCAAGTACAGTAAAACTTGGTTATAGCAACATCGGTTTCTGCGACACCTTGTCTATTGCGTCAAATATTCAATGGTACGGACTAATTTCTCATAAAGCAACTGTTTTTATGCTTGCTTAGTATGACATGCACAAATGCATCAACCTCATATGTAACGTCATTTTCATTCCTGAATTTCTCTGATATCGTGGGAAAGTTCGATGTGTCTGCCCACCCTCACGTTCTCTACTTGCTGACGTGACTGTCCTGGAAGAATACGACCGCGGGCTGCAAGAGGAGCTTGGGTTTTATGCGAAAACAAGGGTGTGGGGTGGGACTGCGTGAATAGTGCAAGAGGACGCGGCAGGTTGTTAACTGCATTCCTTTCCTAGAATCTCGTCTGACAGGACCTCACATTGTCTACTTACCCTATTGTGTTCCTGCCTAAATCCAGAGAAGTGCAGTAGCGAAAACATGGCAATGAAAAGGAAAGTTTTAAGCATTGAAGAGAAAGTTAAAGTGATTCGTGAAATATTGTGTGTATTGTCAGTGAAAAGCGCTGTAATATGTCTTTGATATTACACATTTGGGCAATTCCACGTTAATGTTACGTTAGTCTGTACTTAACTATGTATTTCACTAAAAA